AAATTTTTCAATTAAATAGATAAATTATTAAAAATAATAAATGAATATCAAGAAGAATAATAAATATTGTAGAATATAATAATAAATATTTAAAATTAATATTAAAATATTATTTAAATCTCCTAATTCAATTAGAAGCACCATTAGAAATCGTTTAAATACAACCTAATCGATCATCAATACTTCAAAATCAAAGAAGGATAAATGGAACACAATCAAAAATAATTAAACATATTCCACTATTGAAAAAATTAGAATGAAAAGAGACGGAAAGAAACCAAGTAATAAATAAACTATAAAACCTACTTTGAGAAAAAATGTAGAAAAGAAAATAGGACTATATGAAGAGAATTAAAATATTTAAATTTAACTAATATGGTACATCTACAATATAATATTAGAGAATTAAAAAGATATTTAACATGGAAAATTAGATAATGTCAGCCTAATGTAAGAGAACTAAATATAACATCCTCAGATTATTTATATCAAGATAGAATTCATAAAGATATAGTTGTTTCAGGGAGTTATTTAATTATTAGAACACATAATGATAATTTATTCTAAATTTTCTATTCAAAAATTGGTTTGGTATCAAGTATTCAAAAGAGGATTCCAACTAAACAATAAAAATTGATGTTTTTCATAAGTCCAAATGATTTTTTTTACAATAGGAAAAGTAGAAGGACCAATTATGAAATTTAGAAAAAAAAATATTCTAAGAATTTCTGTCAACTTTAACGAAATGCACTAAGCATTAAACTTAAGTGGTATCGGGTGCACATATAATAGAGTTCAGTGGTACGCGATACCCTATTCTTAGTTAAGTGGTATAGCTCCCCCAATTCTCGTACTTTAGTGGTACCCAAGATATTTCACCCTATGTTTAACGTTATGGAACAAGTTCAAATTGTACTTTAAAGCACCAATACTTTAAAGCATTGTAGAAATGCTGCTATAGATAACCATAATTATCTCTAACCAAAATAGCAACAGTAGCCAACTCTCTTTCTCAACTAATACTAACATCAAAAATAATAATTATATTCCACCAGCTCTTAGTGAATATGTGGCCATGTACGTATATGGCCTATCAAACATTGTTTATTAATGTTGTTCTATTGATTATCCGGTCTTCTGGTTTTGATAGTTTTAATAAGGACCGAATTTATCCGGGTATTTTCTATTTATGGGACCAAAGACGGAATTGTATTGTTTTACATCGGGTCCCAGAAGTCAAAAAGAGCCAAAAATGGGAGGATTTGCATAGTTCACAGATCAGAGCAAATGAAGACAAAGAGGGATGGTGTGGTAGGCCCGGAGGAAGACAATCAAAGTAGGTAAAGGCCGTCGTCCTCTGGGGAAGTATGGCTTGAATCTTTCCAATTTGAGTTTGCCACTCCATCTCTGATTTGGGTTGGGATTTTAGTGTAAGAGCGATTCTGGAAGATCAATTTATGGACTCGTTCAGGGTGGATGGATTCTGAGAGGGGAGAATAAAAGAAGAAGGGATTTTGAGTGGGTGGGTTGGGATTGGGTGGATTACAAGTGGACATTAATTGGAGAAGGAAGGGTGATTCGAGGCTAATTATACATGTTTTAATTATCCCTTCATATATATTTATTGTTTTGAGTTAGTAATTCTCATTCCTCGACCCCTTTTATAGTAGGTTGTGATTCTCTTGCTATATTTCTAGTCCTAGTACGTATGGAAAGTTTGAGGACGAGTTTCGGGGCATTCAGATGTCAAAACGAGCCAAAATGGGAAGATTTGCATGGTTCACGGATCAGAGCAAATGTTCACGACCTTGAGGGACTGATGTTTATAATGAATTTTCAGAGTCTTGATCCCACGATATGTCAATTGAGCTTTTGACCCACGAGAGAGAATATCTCACTAGGTTGAATAAAACACCTTCAATCATTCACTATGGGTTTTTGAATGAGCGTAGTGTCGTATTGGGTCTTGTCCAATCTTGGGAATTGGTTGTGAACACCTCAATTTCCTATGTTGGTTGTATGGTATGCATCTCCGGGTAGAGAAATTGAGAGGGGTTGGATAGCTCAAATACGGCGGCGGTCGGGGGGGGGGGGTCCAATCTAGTCTAGAAATCTTTGTGGTACAAGTATTGAGTCAATTACTCTAGTTAGTACTCAACATCGGTCCAAATAATGCAGTCGAGGGATTCATGCCTAAGTGAGCTCCCAACCTTGTAGTTAGAGTAGATGTTAGTGTAGTTGGTTTAGCCTTAATCACTATTCTTATTTGGCTAGATAGCATAACTAAGTTGAAGTAGCGATACACCTAAAGACCTGTGGTTCGATAATTGTATTACTTTGCTTTACCTATGTTACACCCCATAATCGGTTATGCTTGGCCCTCGATTGAGAGTGTGTAGTTAGCACAACAAAGTGAGTCTTCTAGAGTGACATAATTTTTTGCTTGGGATGTACTTACCGTTTTTGACATAACAACAACACAAGAGTGATATTTTTTTTATGGAGGTCCAAGAGTGAAAAATAGACATGTTTGGTAACTAAAGCACCTAAAATATAAACATGGATTAGATAAACAAAAGGAATGAACAATTGCATCTCATGAGCATCTAACCTTACTGTAGTTGCAGTCCAACACTATCAAACTATAAAACTACAGTGTTACATTGTTTTAACTTTTATGAACGATATTAAAATGAAATGTTAGTTATGGAGACACATTACCTCCACTTCATATTATCATCTAATATTAATTCAACAAAAGAAGACAATGACAACAATTGTACTGTTTCTCCATGTAGTTATATTATACATCATCATTAAAAGTTAAAACTATAGAGGCTCAAGTTTTCTCATTGCATCATGCAACTTTGTTCTCACATAGACATTATAACAAACAGATCACATAACTTAGCTAGAGATAACCATAAAGTAATTGATGTATTTTGAATGGAAAATGAAATTCCCCTCTTATATTTGATTGGAGAAGAGATTGTGCAAATCCAACTAAGGTAGCTATGTTGATAAATTTGGGAATGATGGAGGCTTGGCGAGGTTGAAGTATGGATTTTTTCATAGATGTGGTAAGCTTGGTTGTTCAACTCATTCTCAAACCAATATAGAAGTAGAAGGAAAATGTTGAGAGGAATGAAAGTTTAATGAATTTATGAACAACATAATTCTAAGCAGAGTAAAAATATATATATAAATGTATGCAGAAAGGGGTTGTATTTGTTGGAGGTAAGAGGATAGAAAAATCATATCTTTGAACGGAGTAGGCTGAGAGAAGTCGAAATACGAAGAAGGTAAGTGAATTCTTAATTTTTTGAAAGGAACCTAATATAATTTGGCTTTTTCTTCCGTTGCTATTTTATTATGATGGTGAAATGATCTATTAAAATTAAGGAAAATGAACAAGAATAATAAACAAACAGATGGTCGGACAGTAATACATCCTCAGGCCCAGCAAAACACACAATAAACTAAAGCTACCCAGCTCCACCATCAAAACAAGCAAGCGAGCCTGTTCTCTATTTTGCTCCTTGCTAGAATTGATTGAACTATTGTATTTGTACATGGTTCGAATTTGGTGGACACAATTGTATTTGACTATTGTATTTGATTATCTGTATTGACTATTGTATTTGCATAGAGAATAGATTGTAATGGGTATTACAGGTACCCATATTATCTAAATGGGTGTTATCAGGTAACCCGCGGGGCCACGGGTACCCAATATTATAAATTCTTAATGTCAAGTCCCATCCCGTAATAAATATAAAGGATATTTGAGTACCCATAACTCTAAAAAAGGAACGAGTATGAGTATACCTAAATACCCGTTTCCCGTTGTCCACCCCTACCGACATATGCTTCATCCTCACAGCTCCAATTACGAGGGTCTTCCTCAGTTGTCATCGTCCTTCAGCAAAGGATGCCTCAACTCTCTTCTCTTGGCTTGACATAATCGCCGGGCTTTCTGCAGCTCCCCACAGATCCAGGCAAACTCCATCCTCATAGTGTCACCATCGTCGTTTTTGGGATCTTGAGGTGGCTGGTTCTGGGTTCCCAAAGAAGAACGAAGTGGCTGTTTTTGACTGATTTTCTTCCCGACAAGCAATGTGGCTTCCTTCTTAGTCGAATCCGAGAGACTCCGGTGAGATCTACCTCCCTCGTTGCATCCAACATCATCGTCAACATCATCTCCGCATGTGGAAGACACTGGAAGGATGTAAAGAAAAGATGTGGGAATTATCGCCAACGACAAAGAGAGCGTTGATCGACGATGTGTGTGTTGCGGTGAAGGAAGTTTTTCATCTTTCCACTTCGTCGCGTACACTCAAACTTTAAATAAAATGTCTCTTTATTTTTAATTATTTGTAAATATAACTCAACCTAATTGCCACATCTATCACTTTTAAACCCAATCAACTAACACATAACTGGTCAACACTAACAAAAAAATGTTAGTACTAGAATTTTTTATATTGAATAGTTTAAAATAAAAATTATTATTTTTAAATAATTCAGACTTTGTGGTGGTATTAACTAGCCCTCACATATCCATTTATTTCCAGTTCAAAGATTAGTTAAAAAATCAGCGGACGGTGGATGGATTACTGGTAATGAATTTGATCCAGGTGGACCTTTAAATCCAATTTCATGATATCCAATAGTGAAAGAAGATTGATCTTTTAACGAACGAGCTTCACAATAGTTGGTATCCAGATAATCATTTTGGATTGAATTTAAGAATCCATCACATAACTCGTTTTTTTGACTAAACCAGGTAGTTGACCTTCAGCTCGGGCGAGACACGTGTGCAAAGCAAGAGATCTTTGAAGAAGGAAGGAAGGAAATTCAGTGGAGCACACCTTACAGCACATACACATCATCATATCCTATCATTACCCTCCCTCGCCCTCGTGTACTCATTTCATTTGGATACAAAACGAACCAAACTAATAACAGGCAACCAGACTCTCTCAGATACCTAAAAGCGCAAAACCAAACAAAAAAATCAAAAATATAAAACGAAAAACAACAAATCCCTAATTTTATTTAAATAATAAATGATAATTATAATAATTAATCGAAGAGAAAAGAAAGGTGAACTAAAACACTCTCCTCTCCTCCCGAGAGCCAAAGCCTTGAACAACAAACAAACATCTCCCACCCTTTTCAGCTGCTTCTTCTCCTTCCTCTCTCTCTCTCTCTCTCAGATTAGATCCCATTCTTCTGCAACAAAATCCCAATTTCTCTCTGTTTCCTCCCTGCAAATTCGACCAATTCCGCAATCTTTCGCGAAGCTGACTTTTTTTTTTTGGGGGCCTACTCTGCATCTGGTTCTGTTAATCTTTTGTTTATTCTGATTTGGGGGGGCCGCAATGGAGAAGAAGGTGGTGGTGACGGTGGTGTGCGTGGCTGCGGTGGCCGGTGCCGTCGCAGCCGGGATGGTGCTGCGCAAGAAGATGAAGAAGGACGGAAAGTGGGGGCGGGCCATGGAGATTGTCAAGGAGCTGGAGGAGAAATGCGGGACCCCAACTGCCAAGCTCAAGCAGGTCGCCGACGCCATGGTCGTTGAGATGCATGCCGGTCTTGCATCTGAAGGCTGGAAGCAAGCTCAAGATGCTGATCAGCTACGTCGACAATTTGCCAACCGGGTATGCATAGAATTTCTTCCGATTTGATTTTTCATATTCTCCGATTCTCATTATTATTTATTTATTTATATTCGATTGAATCTCTGATCCCAATTCTCGCGAGATCCGATTTGAAATCTGGGAACATTCCAAGCAATTTGCGGATCCAGTACAATTCCTGAGTAGTTTCATGGCTGCGCTTAATTGCATCTGATTAGCTATTGCGGTGATTCCTCTGTGGATGGACGGGCTTCGAGCTGATTTAGCTCAAACCCTGTTCAGTGGAATGGAGTTAGGATTATGACTTCCTAGCAATACTAATGGTTGCCATCTGAATTATTCCAAAAAGAAAAAGTCTTTTTATTGTGTGAACTGTTATGATGTAATAATAACAGTGACGCATTCTTTGCATTTTCCAATTCAGCATTGATTCCTCTTTTCATTTTCCATTTTGGCTGATTGGTTTCTTTCAAACCCTTTACTATGGTGACCTAAAGCATTGTCTATGAATGAATCTCCACACCTGAGATTTGAATATTCAGTTTACAAAAGTGGGGAGGAGGTTGGGGTTGATGTCTGTTCCTTTATAGCTGAGTTGATTTTGCGATTGTTCTCTTGTTCAAGTCATGAGACTGGGCTGTACTATGCTTTGGATCTTGGTGGGACGAATTTTCGTGTGCTGCGGGTGCATTTAGGAGGCCAAAATGGTGGACTTGTTAACCAAGAGTTTGCTGAGGTGCCAATCCCTCCTGAATTGATGACTGGGGCGGCAGATGTAAGTATTGAACAGTAGCAGTACACAAAGGTGTTCATGTCGCAGACAGTGTCTTTCTCGTGTGGTAATCATGTGTCACTGGTTTCAGGCGCTCTTCGACTATATTGCAGCAGAGCTAGCAAAATTTGTTGCTCAAGAAGGTCAAGAGCACGAGCTTCCACCGGGGAGAAAGAGAGAGTTGGGGTTCACCTTCTCATTCCCTGTCAATCAAACTTCCATTGCTTCTGGGACTCTGGTTCGGTGGACAAAGGGCTTTTCCATTGATGAATTGGTTAGTTCTAACTATCTATGTTCTGTAGCGCATACACTGTTTGTCTCCCTCACTTTTGTTATTGGTTAATCTGATTAAGAGTTACGTAATCAATTCCTCTAAACTAGGTTGGTCAAGATGTTGTGACAGAATTGACCAGAGCCATGAAGAGGCAGAACCTGGAAATGCATGTCTCTGCTCTGGTAATCTTCATTAATACTTTCTTGATCGTCTATTGTTCAAGTCATGCATTTTTTGTCAACACCAGCCCTGCCCTATCATTCATTATAAAGAAACTGGAAAGACGAATTATAAGATGTGCAATATACCATTGAGGAATCAAAACTCAGTAATTTTCAGTTTAATCAATTCTAGTCTTGGGTATAGGTGAATGATACTGTTGGAACTCTAGCTGGAGGTAGATACACCAACAAGGATGTTGCTGCTGCTGTTATCTTGGGCACAGGAACTAATGCTGCTTATGTCGAGCGAGCACAAGCTATCCCGAAATGGCATGGTGCTCTACCTAAATCGGGAGAAATGGTATCAGCAGATTTTATTACTTCTAGTGTTTTTATGCAGCAATTTATATCATTGATTTAAAAGTACAAGTTCCTCACTCTACTGTTACTGGTGGAATGTCTAGGTTATCAATATGGAGTGGGGAAATTTTAAGTCATCCCATCTTCCTTTAACCGAATTTGATAATGCACTCGATATGGACAGCTTGAACCCCGGTGAACAGGTGATTTGAAACTATATACTTCTTATTTCTTTGCAAACATTATATCTGGGAGAGCAACTCCCGTATGTAATCAATTTGTGATTTGCAGATTTTTGAGAAGGTAATTTCCGGTATGTATTTGGGGGAAATTGTACGCCGTGTCCTCTTAAAGATGGCTGAAGAAGCCTCCCTTTTTGGTGAAACTGTGCCATCTAAACTCCAAGTTCCCTTTATACTTAGGTAAGTGGGAATGTGGGATATCAACTTTCTTATTCCCATATTCATGACATCTAGTCTTGGAGTTTTGTCTCCCTAGCAGCTGATGTTGAAGTGTTTTTATGGTCCTAAGCTGTGATATGCTTATTTATCATACTAATTAGCAATCATATTTAACTTAGTAACTAGTATCTGTTAACAAGGATGCCACAATTAACTAATTTTGCATTCATTTACTGGCATATGCAGGACGCCTGATATGTCAGCAATGCACCATGACACATCCTCAGATCTTAAAGTCGTAGCAAGTAAATTGAAAGACATTCTAGAGGTATTTTCTGCTAACTGGTGGTCACCTTGACTACAACTAAAAGCCGTCTTTTATTCGCAGAAAACAAATATGGGGGATGATATTTATTCATCTTCTGTTGTGTTCAGATACCGAGCACGTCTCTTAAAACGAGGAAGGTCATTGTTGAAGTGTGCAACATCATCGCCACTCGTGGTGCCCGCCTCGCCGCTGCTGGGGTCATAGCTATCCTGAGGAAGATGGGAAAGGACGTGGCCAAAGAAGGCGAACTGCTGCAGAAAACTGTGATCGCCATGGATGGTGGGTTGTACGAGCACTACAACGAGTACAGCAAGTGCATGGAGAACACACTCACGGAGTTGCTTGGGGAGGAAGTTTCCAAGGCTGTGGAGGTCGTTCATGCCAACGATGGTTCGGGGATTGGTGCCGCCCTTCTTGCTGCCTCACATTCGCAGTACCTTTGAGTGCGCGGCATGACCAATTTTCCTTCGTCAGTTTGCGTCCTCTCCTTTCCTGCAGAAGCCTCTCATTACTTCGACCTCTGAAATGTGTCGAAGAGTCCTTTCTATTTTTTCATTTACCTTTTACTTGGTTGGTCTTAGGAGATTGGTTATACTGTGAATATTTTTTACAGCAAAGCCTCGGGGAATTTGAAGGTAGCTGTGAAGCGGTCAATTCTTCCGCTTTTCATGCGGCTGATGCTGCATTACTACCCTCTGGTAATAATTCCTGCTTTGATTTGAATTCGCCAATTTGCTTTGGTGAGAATAATAAGAAAGAAATACAGAGAAGCTTAAGTTGGAATAATAATATTTGATTTTGCCAAATTACCTTGTATTTATTTTGGCTTATACCTCATCTTCATCTATTGGACCTTTTTACTTTCTGCACCCTCATCCCTCGGCCCGTAGCAGCTTTCTAGGAAGCCCAGCCTGGCATGCTGGGCCTTGGACTTGGGTTGTGCAAGGCCTCCCTAATCAACTTCTGGCCTGATACTGCATATTTCAAAACACCCTTGAACTGAAGTAGAAAACAAGTAAAAAGAGTATTTTACGTAAAAGTGTTTCCGTGACCTATAAGCATAAAAGCACAATTTTATAAGATTTAAAGTGCGATTTTGACTACATTAGTTAGAAAAAAGTTTGATTTTACGTAGAAGCGTTTTGTAGCTAAAAGCTTAAGCGTGTTTTTATTATATTACTTATAAACGTTACCTTGAATGAGATAAGGTGCAAATTGACTATGAGCATCCACACATTTTTTCATTTTAAATTGAAAAATGACATAATATGAGTTTTTGTAATTGCAAAACTTGTTTTGTAATACGAGTTTTTGTCGGCTTCATACCTTACCGGCCTGTCGGCAAGTCAGTTTAATCAGCTTATTAGCAAGTCCATCTCATTGGCTTGGTACATTGACTGACAAGTTTCCACACCCAAGTTCTATACTTAGTCTTGAAAAGGTAGTTGTCTCATAACACCTTCTTGCCTGCCGGCTTGGTACCCTGTCAACTTGTCACCAAGTTCGTCTTGTTGGATTGATCTCCATACTTTGTTTTTGGAGTCTCATTAAGTTTGTACCTTGTCTCCTTGCTGGCAAGCCCGTCTCATCAACTTACCTCATTGGGTCCCATACTTAGTTTTTAGATGTTTGGTTTCATTCATGTTGTCGGCCTTGTAAACTTGTTGATAGGTTTATCTCTTCTAGTTGGTACTTGGATGGCTTGCTATCAAACTATGTCACCATCTTGATACCCCATCCCCCTCCTCACCAGGATGGCAATTTGAACCCTTCCTATAAGTTATTATTCAACTAGATCCGCGACGGGACGAGTATTATCTAACATGTAGTATTGTGGGGTTTAGGCATGGGTATCTACTTCCGACCCGTCCTGCCATGTTCTTGGCCCATTCTATCTCAATTTTTTTACAATATCTATTTTTGTTTCTTTTATTTTGACTTTTTATTCAAAGACTTGATCTTTCAACTAGTTAGACTCAATTAACCATTCTATTATCACTATTTTTCATTCATAAAGTGTTTTCCTTCGTTTTATCGTAAAAAGTAAAAGTTTAGTATATTTTTCAAATAACATGTAAAAGTGGGTCGACCGTCTTGTCCCGTACCTACATGGGTATTATCTGACCCGACCAACGCTTGGTGCCACTCCACTCCACCCCGCCCCACCGCACCCCATTGCGATCACTATTCTTGGCTTGGTACCCTCTCATGTGGCCACCAAGCCCATCCTGCCAACTTGGTACCACGGGCAAGCATATAACACACTAACCCGGCCGGGCACAACTGCCTTTTAATAAACAATGAACCAAAAGAAGAGCTGAAAGAACTTGGAGAAATTTTTTCATAAATATGCTTTAATAAATACTTTCAACAATATCAATTCCTTAAATACATTGAAAACCATAAACACTCTTAGTAACTTGCATCAAGTCTCAGCCTGTCAGGTCCTACTACTTACATGAAATTGAAAATCTTCATATTGGAGCCCTCCTTTAGCTGGCCGCTCTTGGGCTGGTTGCTCTCCAACTGGCTGCTTCCTCGGTCCTTCTCAACAACCTGGTGAATGGGTTGGGTTCAGTATACGCCGTTATTAAAAACCTCAAAGCACTTAGGGTATTTCTTTGAGTGTTCACCTTAGAACTTGGGAAAGTCGTATATACTTCCACCCTTTAAACTTTAACTCTTAAAAATGTGGGATTTGTTGTTACTCACCACACTAAAAAACTTAACTTAAAACTCTTGTTTACTTTCTAAGTTGGTTGGCGCCACTACTAGACTTGCTTAGTTAAACATATCTACCCTCACAATGGGGTGCCCCTCAACATGAGTTATGACCACCCGCATTACGTATCGCCGGTCGGTGTCAAAACTGTAGTATGCCAACCGCATTACGTATCATCATCCGGTTGGATACCTAAAACTTGGTAATGGAGCTGCGTTACGTATCGTCGTCTAGTTCCATGCCTGATCAACTACTGCGTTATGTATCGTTGTCCATCAATGATCCCTCGTGAACGTGGCTAGCTAAGCGAGGTTACGTATTTTGTCCTTACTTGTTACTCTCTCCACCTTAACTTATTTAATGGTGAAGTACTACTAATCATAAAAACATAAACGTAAAGTTACAAGTAAATATTGAACACTCATACAATTGCCTCAGACAATAACTCCACTAAAAAGTACAAACAATTTCATACGTACGAAATTACCTCCAACTTCGGAGCTTCATAAAATGCTCGTTTGATCTTCAATTCTGATTCCGTCAATTCCATGGCGATCCTCACGGAGATCTCTATGCATCGGTACCAAACTCTTGCAGTATAGTCACCGTTGACCGACGTCACTGTTCGTCGTAGATTTCTCCGTAACTGGATCATTTGAGCTCCGAGCATCGCTAACTCCTCGTTCTCAATAGCATTCATCAACGAGCATGGTTGCTGTCAGCGACCTGCCATTGTCATCGACGTTCTTTACAATTTATTGATTCCCCGTGCGCCGTCATGCTTGGGTATCCGATCACCACCGCCTACCCCTCGTTGATCTCTATATGCCAGTCGGTGACGTCTTACGAAGTGGGCTCCTTTCCTGCTAGCTTCGCTACCGATTTTTATTGATTTGTGTTTATGTTCATGATAAAATATTTTATAAAAATGAATTGCTTAGTTGTATGATGAATGATTACGGTGAAACTAAATTGAGATTTAGGAAATTATGAGGGATTTAATCATATTTAAGCATAAGTTTATTCTATTATGCATAATACTCCACTGTTTCTACACACAAATAGAAAATTTCCATTATTTATAATCAAATATAGAAACAAAAAAATACTGACAAAATAATCAAATATACATTTCATTACTTATTAATTCAAAATATTTCGGATTGAGATTGAATTTTTCATTATTTTGTATTTGAGATACCAATAAACCGATTTTAATAATGCTATCAAAGTCGTCCATACACTAATTAATGAGTAGTGAAATGTAAAACGTGCAACTAAGTAACATTTAATTTGTCATCAATCTTGCACTTGAACATACAGGGAACAATCATAGAACATTTAAATGAGAAAGAGAAACCTTGCAGAATCTACCGCGCGCAAACAAAGGTGGGATAAGAAAAAAAAAACTTTAATATAAGTTCTAGCGAAAGGAAAAGTTTTGCCTAATCAACAACACGAAACGTGGGTTAAGATAATATTCTACTAGAGAAAAAGAGGAAAAATCAATTTAGAATAAGTTCTAGAGAAAGGAGAAATTTTCCTAGTTAACAACTGGAAAAAATATAGGATAAAAAGATTTTTAAGGTAAATCTTGAGATTTTTCCAGAAATAGCACTGTTTAAAAAATAAATTCCAAAAATAGCACCCAACTCCGAAAAATTCCAAAAATAGCATAATTTTTATAAAACCGCCACCCAGAGGTGCGTTTTTCGATGAAAACCGCACTGGTAGGGAGCGGTTTTGCAGACCGCACCCCCAGGGTGCGTTCTGCCTTTTTTTTTTTTGCAAACCGCACCCCCAGGGTGCGTTCTATTTTTTTTTTTTTTTTTTGAAAAATACTTACTTAGGTGGAAACTTCAAACGAACGTATCTTTATGTTCGGGTATCCGATCGTCGCGATTTTTTTTTTATTCCGCATAACTTTTTGAGATCTTGCAAGCCGAAGACTGCCAAAGGTGGTTTGATCTCGCCTTCATACCAAAAAATGTCGTTTGCTACCCCGAACGAACATGACTTTTTTGGACAACCGTAACTTTGTGCTCCAAATCCAAACGGCATGACTTTTTTTTTATTTCGCATAACTTTTTAAGGACTACAATTTTTACTAGGAATGTATTTTCAAAACAGGAATTATTTTTGGATATACAGGATTTTGGGAATAGCTTATCTTCCCTTCTCAGCAATCCACGTACATTTTGAAATTATGTCTATGATAAAAGTTGTATTCCTTAAAAATTTATGCGAAATAAAAAAAATTTCATGACGTTTGGATTTTGGAGCACAAAGTTATGGTTGTCCAAAGTTTGACGAAATCGGAAAAAAGTTCGTTCAGGGTAGCAAACGACATTTTTTGGGACGAAGGCGAGACCAAACCACCTTTGGCAGTCTTCGGCTTGCAAGATCTCAAAAAGTTATGCGGAATCAAAAACAAATCGCGACGATCGGATACCCGAACATAAAGATACGTTCGTTTGAAGTTTCCACCTAAGTTAGGATTTTTCAAAAAAAAAAAAAAAAAAAAACGCACCCTGGGGGTGCGGTTTGCAAAAAAAAAAAAAAGACAGAACGCACCCTGGGGGTGCGGTCTGCAAAACCGCTCCCTACCAGTGCTGTCTTCATCGAAAAACGCGCCCTCGGGTGGCGTTTCATCGAAAAACGCACCTCCTGGTGGCGGTTTTACAAAAATGGTGCTATTTTTGGAATTTTTCGGAGTTGGGTGCTATTTTTGGAATTTATTTTTTAAACAGTGCTATTTCTGGAAAAATCTCGTAAATCTTAGCAGGTGCTATATTGCACTCTGTCACATCTCATCATACTTTTAAACAAACTTGCGCTATTTACATATTCATACCCAATCCAATTAAATTGGATAAAGAAATAACGATAGGTTTGAGCGGAAATTGCCATTCTGTACTTCTAGTTAGGGGTGGGCAATGGGCGGTTTGGGTGGATTTTGGTCTAAAATTGACCCACCCGCTTACTAGCGGGTTGGAATACATGTGACCCGCAATCCACCTACATACTTATGCGGGTTGGGTTGGGTGGGTGGCGGGTGAGTGCGGTTGGGTCGCGGGTTAACCCGCAAAAGCAATTCTCCAACTAGCCATTAAGAAAATTGACTAACACTTATAATAAGTTCATAGCACATTAGTAAGATTGTATCAATAATTTGTGATTTTGATACAATTAATTATTTAT